TGCTTGGGTATAAGCAAAACCAAAATTTCGTCGGTTCATAGAGCCATGGAACGCCCCATATAGCATTTTAAGATGATTCACATTGTGAACAAGTTAAAACCTACGATATTGGCTGGTTTTAATAAAAAATTTAGGGGAAAATGGGTCAAAAGTACTAAAAGATGGGAAAATATTATTTTTGAAATATCTTTTTTATTTTTTGTGCAGGGGAGCGTGGGGTAATGTGAGCTTTCAAATTTCACGTACTTAAAAGCCTTAAAATTCGCTGCAATGTCTAGAAAATCTTCTACAACCTTTGTTTATATCATTCCAAAACAAACGATTACATTCTTGACAAATTTTTAGTAAAGACAAGGGAAAATGTATTTTTTTAGTTTTCGTTGTAAACATCACCATAAGTAGTTAAAATCGTATTATTTAGTTATGCTTTTTCATTATATTATAGGTGAATATGTGTAGATATGTATACTTGTATAAAAATCGAGATAATAATAAAATTTGTTAATATTTTTATTTTTTTATTCAAATTTTGGCCTGTAACAATTCTGTGGGGTAATGGGAGAATTAGTGTCAGCCCAAAGAATCTTCGTTACTATGTTAGGGCTTTCGTTATTTCTTTCAAAATTGTAAAAGATATGAATATTCCCTTAATATTCATTCAACATTACCTTGGAATATTCCATTAATATTACGGTGGAATATTGCCTCAACATCATCCTGGAATATTACTTCGAAATTACCGTGGAACATTCCCTCAATGCTATTTTGGAATATTCCTGTGGGGCGGACATTTTAATATTACTTTAAGATCCTGGAACATTCCACTAGAATATTCCGAATATGAAATGTAATATTCCCTTCATTCCGATGGGTTAGTCGAAAAAAAGGACACCTCGAATTTTGGTTGAAAAAGAGGACACCTCGCATTTTAGTTGAAAAAAAGGACACGTCGAAAATATTCATTTTACATCAACTTTCGTTTGGCGATACTAGTAGTGATGCATTACGAGCGAATATCGAGAATCTCGCGAAAAATACAATGAAAACAATTGAATGTTACAGTTTCATCTCTTTCCTTTTATGAAAGGACAAAGTCTCGTTATGCATCACTAGGCGATACTATGTGTAATGTAATTGTTTTTTGTAATAGAAGATTTAAGAACATATTATCTTCATAGTTTTTTGAGCACAAAATATCATAAGTCAATTACTTTACACATATCGTTCACTCCAAGTGGAATGTACGTATGTTTAAAGAACATTTTAGAAGTTACGTATCTTCCACGTTCAGTGAAGAAACCACGTATCCTTCTGTTCCGTGCAAAAACTACGTATCTCTGTCAGTCACTTTAGAAGATCTACATTTTATTATTATTATTATTATTTTTATTATTATTATTATTTTGAAGTTAATATTTTGTTATGAAGTAATAATTTTTTCAAAAGTTGATGCAATAAAATATATATTTTTTAAAATAATTTAATTTTTTTTCTTAAAAATATTAGAATATTATTAGAAGTTTTTAAAGCGACTGACAGAGATACGTAGTTTTTGCACGGAACAGAAAGATACGTGGTTTCTTCACTGAACCTGGAAGATACGTAACTTCTAAAATGTTCTTTAAACATACGTACATTCCACTTGGAGAAAACGATATTATCGTCAAACAAAAATGCATTTAAAATTAATATTTTCGAGGTGTCCTTTTCTTCAACTAAAAAGCGAGGTGTCCTCTTTTTGAACCAAAATTCGATGTGTCCTTTTTGTCCACTAACCCAGCGATAAAATTATTCCATTTAATTGACTTAAGTAATTTGTATTTGGTTCAAATAATTATTTATTTGATACCATAAATTAAAATATTTGCGTCCAGTAAATATTTACTTAGTTCAAATAAATAAAAATAAATAAGTAAAAACAAATAAGTTTAAATACAACCGAACGAGCGTTAGCGAGTGAGGTATATGTCGCTAGTTTTAATAAAATTCTTGTCAAAATTTCAATTATATTTAAAAATTATCAAAAAATTCATCCTAGAAATTTAATTATTTTCAATTTTTTTTTAAATTTCTCGTCAAAATTTTAATTATTTTTATAAATAACAAAATTTTTTGTTAAAAATTCAATTATTTTCAAAAGTTCTAATAAAATTCTTTGCAAAATTCAATTATCTTTAAAAGTGAGAAAATTCTTGTCAAAATTCCAATTATCTTTATAAATAATAAAATTCATTCTAGAAATTCAATTACTTTTAATTTTTTTTAAATTTCTCGTCAAAATTTTAATTATTTTTATAAATAACAAAATTTTTTGTTAAAAATTCAATTATTTTCAAAAGTTCTAATAAAATTATTTGCAAAATTCAATTATCTTCAATTTCAATTATCTTTATAAATATCAAACTTCTTCTACAAAATTCAATTATTTTAAAAATTTTTTTTAGAAAATCTGTTTAAAATTTCAATTATCTTTAGAAATAATAAAATTCTTTCTCTGAAATTCAACTATTTGCAAAGAATTTTAATAAAATTCTTGTCAAAATTTTAATTATCTTTAAAAATAATAAAATTCATCTTAGAAATTCAATTATTTAAAACATTTTTTTTATAGTTCTGGTCAAAATTATTATTACTTTCATAAATAATAAAATTCATCATGGAAATTTAATTATTTTCAAAAGTTCTGATAAAGTTCTTTGCAAAATTCAATTATCTTCAAAAGTAAGAAAATTCTTCTGCAAAATTCAATTATTTACTAATGTTTTATAAATTGCTTCTCAATAATTCAATTATTTTCATAAAAAATAATTAAAATGTTTTTTTTTTATAAATTTTTTAATCTCAAAAAGGTTTGAATTTGATTCTTTTGATGTATTTTAATTCCTATGCAAAAATAATAATTAAATATTTATTTAAAAATGAAGTTATTGATGTTTTCGAAATAGATAATAAATAGTAATTAATTCTTTGAATATGTATTAATAATATTTTCCGATCCTCCGCACTTTCGATTACAGTAAATAAAAAATAAGTTTCATCGTAGTCATGATGGTAAACAATAATTTAAATCAGATTATAGTTAATTATTTTTGAATTAATAAATTACTTTGCTGTAAAATGAGGTCAGTAGCACTGCGGTGCCTATTGGATCAAAAGTAGTTCTGATGAATGATTTTTGATAACTTAAAAGTAGTTCTGATGAAAGATGTTTGATAAATTGGATCAAAAGTACTTTTTATCATCACATTGTAGCAAACAATACTGCTTTGCTATAAATGCTACATTGTTGTCTTAATCAACATCATCAAAATTTTTATCTCTGATAAAAGCAGTTCAAAAAATCAAACACAAAATTCAACAATGCTTTATGAAAGCATTGTTTTTATACTTTCTTTAAAGCAATTATTAAATAACAATAGTTAACCATCTAAATAATCAAATGAATTGCAAGCAAACCAATTTTAATTGATTTGCTTTGCAATTTTAATTGCGGATCAAGGTCTCTTAAAAATCATTCTTTCAAAACTATCACTATACATTTTTTGAATGAATATCGATAAACGGATAAACAAGATAAAATAGAAATTTCAACAAGAGAACAAATTCAAAGGATAGCAGATTCGAAAGAATAAATTCAAGAACAAATTCAAAAACAAATACAAAACAAATTTCCAAGAAAAAATGAAGACCAACAAGGAGCCACACCTGCTGCACCTGATAAAGTAAACGATTTAAATAATAGTGGAGACAAGTCGGAACAATGGCGTATGGGTTATATTGTGGCAGTCTGGAAAAAATTCATTATGTATGGTGTTCATTATGCATAGTCCCGGTCTAGCGTTACATCGCATTTGTTGCAAGATGACTCGTGCATTTGTATACACATATTTATGAAGATAAAAGCAAAGGTATCCCGTGTCGATGGATCCGTTACTGCTTTAAAGTAACGTTCTTTCGTGAAGAGAACTAAGAAGAAGATGTGCGCGCAAATAAAAAGAAAAAAAAATCCAAAAGGAAGCACTAGGAAGTATATTTCGATAGCGTGCAACTTGCAATTGCACTCACTCTTTGACCACGTCGAATTGCGTATTGACTCTTGAGAAAACTTATGTCTTGCGGTACTAAGAAGATGATTATAATGATTATTATTATAATAATAATGACTATGCAACTTGTAAACTATATTGTCTTTAGTCAACATGCAGCTCGCCATTTCCTTTTCCCCAAAAACTCGTATCCTTTCTCTTTTTTTCTCTCCGAATTAAAACTCGACTAGTTACGTAAGAATAATTACATCAGCACTGAATGAATTAGCCGATTTTAAATGGACCTAGATTCTTGGACTTGAAAAGTGCGAAACTGACTATTTAATGATATGCTGAAAATAGTCTTTTTACGTAAAAGACATTTTTAATGATCCAAAACGTAATATTTTTGCTACCGTTACCTTATCAGAACGTGAAACCGTAAGATCAGGTTTAGCCAAGTTGAACCTGAGGCATTACACCCAGAATAAGAGAAACAGAATCGTAAAACCTCGACATTTATTGCATTGGACTTATAAAGTTTGATACTTTTACCGGTTCTTCGGTTGTTGTTGTTTCTGCAAAATAATCAGTCGTTGACCTTCCGGCAACAGGTGGTCTGGAATGAAAACAAAAAAAAAAGATTTGTTCATTCCTCATAGAAAACCACTTTCTTTGAAACGGAAGGAAAAGACACACGGGGAGAAAAAAAGAATTTCTTATTATCGCCATGGAAGTCCGGAACAATGCAACAGCTGACAGGAAGTTTTTATCAATGCTCTCTTTAAAAATCGGTTTATCACTTACCCTCCTACAGCTTTTGAAGAGCTTCCTGAATTTTTATTTTTCATACACACATTTTTAAGCATTTTTCAATATTTCTAAGCATTTCTAAACCAAACGTTTCGAAAACTATTTTTTCACTAATTTGATGAACAAATTTTCAGAAATCTAAATTCTAAATTTCTGTTTCAGGGAGAGACTAACAGTGAAAGACTGTTTACAACACTCTTGGTTCGCGTTATTCGACGACCCAGTGGCGTCACTTTCATCAACAGTATCGTTAGAAATCGAAACAATGACCTCGAGTACAGTAGTTATTTTGGAACAAGAACCATCGACACCAGAACCAGAAGTTTGTCCCCGCTCGAAATCTTTAATTTCGTCAAAGGTTGATTCAGAGCCTAACAAAGGGACAAATGCTGTAGATGGAAAAACATCAGTATCATCATCATCATCAAATTCCCCATCATCATCATCATCATCATCAGCAACGAGAGCTGTTTCATCGCACACGGAAAATATTTACTCAAAGCCAAAGACATCATCGCCATTAAGAATTGGTCTCAGCGCAAATCGAAGGGATACATTCAAAAAAAATATGGAGTCTTTGGCGCAAAAATTTTCAACGAGTACAGAAATTGTCATCTTGGAGGGCAGTGGATCCAGTGTTACACAGAGAAGAGCAACTGCGACACATACAATGCCAGCTGGTGAAGTATTCAAGTGTATGCCAGTGTTTATTTTAGGCGAGGAACAACAATGCAGCGACAGTGGCAGTGACACTGTCTCCGAAATATCGACAGACAGTTCCAGCGATCGCAGTTCCATTTATTCGGACGATTCACTTGATTTTATTTTATATGGCAAAAATCAAGGGAGGGCCAGTTTTCCATTCACCGGTCCTGAGTCTGATAGGTAAATATTTTAGTATTCATTTTATTGAATCAATTTTAGTTTTTATTTAGGTCGCGCCTTCAGCTTGAAAAATGTTTCACTTCACTGCCCAAACTGTACGATTCCAAAGTTTTAAATTTTAAAAACTAAAAATACAAAGATCTTGAATTTAGAACAATCAGTAAAAATATTAAAATTCCGAACAAGTAGCTTAGGCCACAACATTTTTTTATTCAGGGTTGACACAAAAATTTAACTTTGTTTTTCCCTCAATATTCCCTGCTTTCCAGAATTTTGCCTTTTTCCCTGACCCTAAATATACTGATTCACTCTAAAAATTATTAGATACTCAAACAAAAATATTCTATAAAAATTCTAAAAATATTCTTTAAAAAAAATTCTTCAAAAGTAAAATTATTCGAAAACATCAATAATTTCTTTTTTAAATAAATCATTACTATTTTTCCATAGAAGTTACGATTTTCAAATTCAAATCTTTTGAAATTAAATAACTTATAAAAATATTATTTTTCAGTTAAATAAATATTAGAAAATAAATACTTCAACTAATTTAAAAAAATAAATTAAATTAAACTTTTTCAAAAAAAAAAATTAATTCTACAGAGTTGTTAGTTAAAAAAGTACCTAGGAAAAATTCCGATTTTCAAAGATTTGGATTTGAAACCTTTTCAAAATTCAATTTATTTCTAAAAATCCATGCTATAATGCTTTTAATATTAAATTAGAAAATTTTAACCGAAATTCATTTTTAAATCAATTTTTATTAGAAAATTCAACGAGACTTCATTTATTTAAATACAAAAATAAATCAAGCCATCAATATTACAAAAAATAAATAATTTTGCAATAATTGAATGTTTCTTAAAATTTATTTTTTACTAAGAATTTTATTAACAACTTTTGAAAATAATTAATTTCTTTCAAAGAATTTAATTGAAATTTTACTAAAATTTATTATATTAAAGAAATTTATAACAATTTTTGAAAATAATTGAAAACTTTTTCAAGAATTTAAAAAAAAATTTTTTAAATAATTGAATTTCTCAGAAGAATTTAAATAATAATAAATGAAAATAATTGAATTTATGCGAAGAATTTTAGTAAATTTCGTTTAAATAATTGAAATTTTGCCAAGAATTTTATTAAAATTTTTGACAATAATTTAATTATTGAGAATTTCGCTGTCTATTTATAAAGATAATTTAATTATTCTTGACGAGATTTTTCAAAAAATTTAGAAAATAATTTAATTTCTGTAAATTATTGTAATACCTTTCAAAAAAATTGAATTCTTGTTATGGATTTTGATATTTATCAAAATAATTGAATTTTGGAAAAGAATTTTATTAAAATTCATTAAAATAATTGATTTTATGGGAAGAATTTTATTGTTTATCAAGATAATTAAATTCTTTTGCAGAATTACTTAAAAATTTTTTAAAATAATTGATTTTCTGCGACGAATTTTAAGAATAATTGCATTTTTCGAGGAATTTATTTAAAATTGCATGAAAAATATTTGTAATTCTGCGATGAAAATAATTGAATTCCTAAATAAAATTACATTATTTATGAAAATAATTGAATTTTTAGCAAAAAATTTTATTTTAACTTTTGAAAATAATTGAATGTTTAACAAAAACTTTTATCTCAATTTTTGAAAATAATTGAATTTTTAACAAGAAATTTTGTTATTTATAAAGATAATAATTGAATTCTTGACAAGATAATCGTTAAAACTTTTAAAAATAATTGAATTTCTTCAAAGAATTTTATTACTTTTGAAAATAATTTAATTCTTGTGATGAAGATTGTTCTATTTATGAAAATATTTGAATTTTGCAAAGAATTTTTAAATGATTTTTGTAAATAATTGAATTTCTTTAAAGAATTTTGATTACTTTTGGAAATAATTAAATTCTTGTGATGAAGATTGTTATTAATAAAAATAATTGAATTCTGCAAAGAATTTTAAAAAATGTTTTGAAAATAATTGAATTTTTAACAAAAAATTTTGTTATTTATAAAGATAATTGAATTCTTCACGGGATAATCGTTAAATTTTTTTTAAATAATTGAATTTCTTTAAATAATTTTATTACTTTTGAAAATAATTGAATTTTTGTAATAAAGATTGTTCTATTTATGAAAATATTTTAATTTTGCAAAGAATTTTATTTCAAATAAAGATTTTCAAGTTTTGAAAATAATTGAATTTTTAACAAAAATTTTTGTTATTTATAAAGATAATTGAATTCTTCACGAGAAAATCGTTAAAATTTTTAAAAATAATTGAATTTCTTCAAAGAATTTTATTACTTTTAAAAATAATTGAATTGAACATTGTTCTATTTATGAAAATAATTGAATTTCGCAAAGAATTTTATCAAAATTCCTAAAAATAATTGATTAATATTAAAATATTAATTTTTGTCAGAAATAGAAAAAAAAATTGAAGGTTTTGTATTAGAATTCGTGGTAATTTCATAGTTTATGAGGCAAACAAATATGATCCCAAAAAATCAGAATTTCCTTATGAATTCTAAAAATTAAATTTTTTCCAGTACTTTTAATAAAAATTCCTGACTTTTTCCTGATTTTCCTGACCAATTCCCAACTTTTTTACTCCCAATTGACTTCTTTATTCCCTTTTACCTCCTGAATTTTTAACAGAATGTGGATAAAACAGTGAAGTAAAATTACCCAGACCTAAAATTTCTAAACTATCATTATTTATTTAAAATTTGTTAAAAAGAAGAAAAACGGATTGACTGAAATTTCTCTGGCTATATAGTCATATTCCCGTGTGTGTATATAATTTACAAGAAATTTTCTAATGAATAAAATGATGATTCGTTTTGCAGGTGGGAACAGAGGCATCATCAACGAGTATGGCCTAGGGAGTGCAACGGTGTCGTGAGCAAGGCCCTGAGTCGTTTCACAGAGCCTGGCTGTGGAAAACTCACCAAGAGTACAACACCGCCATGTTCCCGGGGAAAAACAGGTTTAGAAGCACTACGTGAACGAGGAGGTAACCTCGTCGTGATTAGAGAGCCCGTTAGAGCCGGAAGGTACACAAGATACAGTGAAGTTCAATGCGAGTCAGTGCAGGCGAGAATTCGAAGGTTTCAAATTCACGGCGGATCCTAAATTTATCAATTTTATCAAAACAATTTCGGAAAACAATTAAAGAGAACAAGAATTCCTCATCTCTTTCTCTCATATAAGAGAGGCAGGAACAATTCTCTTCTTTTGCGAAAAGAAGAATTCAATTGCAAAAGAAGAATTCATTTGCAGAAGAATTCATTTGCAAAAGAATTTATTTGCAGAAGAATTCTTTTTGGCGAAATAAGAAATTTTTTTTTCGCTAAAGAAAAAAAAAATTCTCCTGCTAAACAAAGGAATTCTGTTCTTTGCATTTCATCGGATGATGAAATAATAACTGGCGCTGTGCGTGCTCAAATTATAGGCAGCTTGGAAACCTGTCTAGGGCCTCGTTATCTCCCGAGGATGATAGACCAACGTTCAGTCATTTTTATTTGTAAATAGGAATGCGTGCTCCGTTGTAAATAATGTAACGAGTGTGAGAGATGATTATGATGATAAAATTATCTTTATTTTCCATTCCGATGGAATGTGTGCGAGACAATGTCATTGTAAATAGGGAGGACAAAAGTTATGGTGCGAATTTTTGAAAGAAAGAAAGAGAGAGAGAAAAAAAAAATTTATATTATATAAATATATATAATTATATTAACTCGGATCAGCGGGGCAGTTAAAAGTCTGCCGATGATCAATCGATAGACTGATTTACCGTCCCTTCGAAACGCGATTAACAAATATTATAATTCTTTCCTGCCATTTTTCCTATCATCATCATTATCATAAAATTGGCGACATCAATCATTAAATTTATTTTCAAAATTAAAAAAAATAGACTTTCAAATGATATCATTAGATTAGAAATCGAATTTTTTTCTCCCTTTTGTCTTACGACTCGAAATTTTCAACAACAAAAAAATTCAGCGTCAAAAAAATTTTTTCTCCGACTTCTAGTCTAGTGATATCATTTTTCCCCTAAAAAACAAAATCAAATGTGTTCATCAGAAAATCGGTGCCTTGCTACTAAAAAAATAATTACTCTGAGAAAAATCTGAATAAAAATTGAGAAAAATTGAGAAAAAATTGAAAATAAAAAATGTTCACCAAAAGATATCAATGAAAAATAAAGTAATTGATTAGATAAAACAATTTCTCAGGGTAAAAATATTTAGTGCCTAATTGCCTATTTTACCCCACTGGACAAGAAAATGCAAAAATATCGTGCCGTGCCTTAAATGGATACGATCGAGATTCAATAAAATCAAAATTTTCAAGTAGAATTTATTAGAATACGTAGTAAATTTTTTGTTAGCAAATTCATTACTATAATTATTATAAATAATAATTAAAAATCGATATTAATATTTGACAAAATATTCGCAAATATTAATTGATATTTTAGAAAAAGGAAATTTTGTTGTATATTTGGAAAAGTCTGCTCGTCAATGTTCGAAAATTGATTGGAATTTATTACGAATCAAATGAGCACGATTGAAAAAAAACATGATTATGTCAGCCATAATGTATTCGCTAATTTAAAGAAAAAAAGGTCACACTTTCGACCAATCTAAATCCTGTAATATCCGTTTCGGTCAATCTTGTGCTATATTTTTCAATCTCGAAAAAATTTTATTATTTTTATCTTGAAGAAAATAATATTTTTCAATTTGGAAAAATTATTACTAAAATTGAAAAATATTCATTTTTATAAAAAAGAATATTCGAAAAAATATTATTATTTACAAATAATATTTTTCAATCTCAAAAAAAAATATTGAATATTCATAAAAACAAATATTTTTCAATCTTAAAAAAATATTATTATTTTGTAAAACAAAATATTTTTCAATATTGAAAAAATATTAATATTCATAAAAACAAATAATTTTCAGTCTTGAAAAAATATTAATATTCATAAAAACAAATATTTTTCAGTCTTGAAAAACTATTATTAGGTAATATTTGTAAACCTATTTTTCAATATTGAAAAATAATATTTAAACAAAAAAATATTTTTTCAATCTCGAAAAAATATATGAAAAAGAATAATAATCATTTTTATCGAGAATCAACAAACACAGGTGCGACGAAGTAATAAAAATTGTATAATAATTTTTTTTTTCTATTAATTTATCGACAAAAATTAATTGCGGCTTGATGATAAGAAAATATCGACTGCGAAACGTTTCAATTACACGAATCAAGATCGAGATGATCGAGCTCTACTTTGTAAATGCTAGTCATAATTTTGCAAAGATCCCTCGTTCTTGATTTCGAAAAAAAAACTTCATTTTTTCACGAATTTCCTACATTACAAGCACACCCTTTCATTGGACCCTGAGCCAATAAATGACGTGTGCTTATTTTCTTTGTTTCTTCTTTTTTTTATTTATTACTACTTTTTTTCTTTGCGGAATAAGAAAAAATATTTTCTAATTGAATTATTATTATTATATTTACCGTTGTAAACGGAATTATTAATTTATTATTAAATTTTCAAATGTTCGCGAACATTGAGAATTTTGTTATAGAAACAAAAATTATTTATTGTACAATAAATAAAAAAAATAAAGAAATTTATGAACAAAAAAATTGAAAAAATACGAATTAAAATTTTTTCTATGTAAAAAATTAAAGGAAAAAAATATATTGAATTCGTTATAATTGAGTCAAAGAGATAGATTGAATTTACATGTAAATAAATTTTAATCGGCGAAGTAAATTAATTTGCTTAAAGAAGTTAATTTAAAAATATAAATTAAATTATTTAAATTAAAGAATATGAATTAAATTAGAAAATGAAAATTTAACAAGTTGTAAATTAAATTAAAGAAAATTAATTAAATTGAAGAATGAAAATTTAATTAAAGAATTGAAATTCAATTAGTAATTTAAAGTAAATAAAATTTAATTGAAGAATTGAAATTAAAGAATTGTAATTCGAGAATAAAAATTCAATTAAATTTAAAGTTTTAAACTATTTAAATTAAATTAAAAAGCGAAATTTAAATTAAAAAAATCGCAAACGAATAAAAATTAAATGAATTATTTCTAGAAATTTTCTAGAAACTTTTTTAATATAAAATTTTTCTATTTATTTATTATTTTTTGTTTGTTTTCAACAAAAGGAAATTTCGTGAATCGAAGCGCCATTTTTTCAGTAAAATAAAACGTTTGCAAGTCGTAAACCCGTGTGATACTATTGCGCACAATCAATACAGAAAAAAATCGAGAACAACGCTAAAAAAAAAAAATTATTTGTAAATTATTTATCTAAATAAAATACGAAATAAAAAAGAAAAAATTTAGAGCGTTGTAATTAAATAGAAAAAATATTGAATTGTATGATAGTTTTTTTTTCTTTGCTATATGACTGGATATGTAGATTGCGTTTCTTTTTTTTTGTACAATAAAGTTAAAGGAGAATTTGATATTTATTTTATTAATATTATTTAGATTGTCTTTATATGTGGATTATTTAATAATGGTTCAGTATTTTCGTATCTTATATTTTTGATGAATGTACGTTGCTGATTTTCCTCAAGAATTATCGACGCGCTCCTCTCTCAAAAAAAAAAAAAAAATGAGAGTATTCAATTTATTATAAACTTACATTTTATTATTATCGTCGTCAGATTATTGATGTTAATGTTAATTAGTTGAAAATTTGCATACGCACTAAAACCTACCACTGTAAATATTATTTCGATAATTGTATTAATTTTAATAACGACATGAAATACATACTGTCATTTGAAAAGAATTTTCTCTTTATTTATATTTTCTCAAACAATAGTTAATAAATATTTTTTGCTTAATAATAAAATATATTATCAATTAAAATTTAAATTTAAATTAAAATTGAATTAATTAGAATGAAAATTAAAATTAAATACAAAATTAAAATAATTTTTAATTAAATTAGTAATTTAGCTATAATAATTAATAAATTATTAACTAAAATTTGTAACAATAAATAAATTTAATAATATTAATGTTAAAAATTATAATAATAAATAAATAGCTCGTTCATAGTCAAGAGGCACGAACTACGTTCAGTAAAGAAATAAATAAAAAAAAATAAAATAAATAAAAAATATTAATAAATAGATAATAATAAAAATAAATAAAATAAAAAAATAAATCTACAAATAAATTATTTATTTATTATCAACAAGGTCAGAAAATAAAATATTTATAATAATATCAATCAACAATAAAAATAAATAATACTTATCATAAATTAAACTAAATCGTGAATAATTTATTTTCCGAGAAATAGACTTAAATCACACTTTTACTTTAAACAGTACAATATTTTCATTCATGTAAACACTTAAGGTTGTCATCATTTAGGCGCTGAACAGAACGAGAAAGAGTATTATGAAAAACAAACGAAAAAGGAAATTCTCAATTCACAAATTGGACTGGTGATTATTTATTCCAAGAAAATGTAATTATTCCAAACTTGATTTTCATTCTAAAACAAAGAAATTTACTTTTTATATAACGGAGAAAAAATGGAGTTTTTAAATAAATTTTTTTATCTCAAAATTCTAAGAAAAAGAAATATCTCCTTCTTTTCTAAACAAAATTTTTTTTATACAAATATATAAACATGTTAAACAGTCTTAGACAATTGTTAATTATTATGCTTTAAAAATAACCTCGTTAATAGTAGAAAAAAATGCAGGTGAGAAAAATGATTCACTTCTCACACCAAAAGGTATTTAGAAAATTATCTAGACTTTTTTAAAGTAAAAAATAAAGAGTAGTTTATAAATAAACTTATGACAAAAGGGGTGTTAATTAGAGTTGCATGAATGACACTAATTGTTAATTTAAGCTCTAATTTGTTTAATTTAATTTATGATAATTTGTTTTCGTATAATTATTTTTTATTCACGTGTATACTTTTTTTTAACCAAGTAAAAAAATTTTGTATTTAATTTTTTACAGTAATAACAATTTATTGTTTCTATTAATGTCATTTACTGTTTATTTATGTATTGTTTGTTTATTTATTATTATTTAATAATAATTATTTATTTATTGTTCATTTATTTATTACTATTTAATTATAATTATTTATTTATTATTATTTAATTATAATTATTTTTATTATTATGATTATAATTATTTTTATTATTATTATTATTATTATTTATGTTGTCGTTATTACATAATCAGGTGACTTATTTTTCAACAATTTTAATTGCGATCAATTCGTTAATATACTAATAAACGTGAAATTTCATTTTACCGAGATAAACGGTTAAAGATATACTTTTTCTCGATTTCAAGTTCACTTTGTAACAACTTATAAGGTCGTATGTGTTTTTCATAAAATTCTCGAGCAGGAACGAAATTCTGCTAGTTTTTATATTATTCGAATTCGAAAGAAGCGATAAATAAACATGGAATTGACTAATTACAATAATATCACTAGAATGCGTTTATGTTTTTGTTCGAGCCGAACATTTTCTTTTTCCTTTGATCATGCATAATTTATGTCTCAGAAAACAAATCTATTAAGGTCAATCTTATTTCTTCATTTTTCATATGTAACAAAAATTTTAAAATAAATAATAATAATAATAATAATAATTGTAAAAACAGAAAACTTTAAATTTCTTCATAATTATCATTCAATTATGAATCGAAATAATATATTATTAATTTTAATGTCAATAATTCAATTAAATAATAAGTTCAATTAATTTTTTTCTACAATTATTTTATTGCTTTAATGATAATAATAATTAAGAAAAAAATTATTATTAATATAATAATTATTATTTTTTATTATTTAATAATTATTATTTACAATATATTTAAACAAAATTTGGTTTGCTAAATATTTGCTCATTATCATTACTATTAATAATAATTTATTATTAACTAAATATATTATTACTGAAAGAATTTATTTTTAGCTAAATGTTTGCTAAATTAATTGCTGAATAAATAAGTAAAAATAAATAAACAAATTTTCATTAGAAAACCTTTCTGAATTGATAATTATCTGATTATAATTATCATATTTACTGATCTGAATTATTTGCAAACAAAAAAGATTAATG